ATTAATTTATATATCAAATTGAAATTGCTAATTATATCCCGTTTAGTTTTGCTGAGAATAATGGAAATATTTTAATGCTAATACTTGCTTGCTTTTGTGAGTATTGAAGACTCATGGTTTGCCACTGGGAGTATTGTTACTGTTTATCTAGCTAGAGGCTCTGATCAGAGATCAGGGCTCCAATGTGCTGAATGCACACAATAAAAAGTGCTCACTATCTAAATCAATATAAGTATAGGCAGGGAAGTGAGATTTTAGCTTAGACATTCACCCAAATTTACAAAATTCAATTATAAAATTCATGATTTTCACTTAGCGCTGCGTTGGACTCAGACCTGCAGTATGGTGGTCTGGTACCTGGGTACCTGTGCTTGCTCAGCAAAATTCTGCCCAGGGCAGGGGTCCAAGGACTGGGTTGCACTGCAGGATCAGAGCTTTGATTAGTGATTGTTTCTGGCTGGATGGCTTATCTAGCATGTAACAACTGGCACTGTGACAATTTCCAGAAATGATTTGCAGACCAAGAATTATTTGATGCAGATATTAGTGAACTATTTTGAAAAATGCATAAAGTCAAGGAATTTTAGTGTGTTTGCAGACACTGTGAACAGAAAAAAGAAAAAAATCAAAATCAGAAGATTATTGGTTGTGAATTATTTTTTCATATTTGTCAGTTTGTGTTCTTGGGATTTGTTGCTTATTTGGAGGAAATGTGTTTCATGCCTTCTACATTTAGTTATTAATCAAAATATTAGGCTACAATAAAATATCAGTGATGTAAATTTGCATGACTAAGTATTAGATGTTGAATTTAATCAATACCTTTGTGATTATAGAATTACATGATATTGAAAAACAAAGAGAAGAAGTGCAAGAGAAATGTAACACAAAGAGGAGCTGTAGGTGAGGCTCCAGGCGCGATGCAGACTCCCCTTTGACACTAGATTCTGCAGTCCCCAGGCCCATTGAAAATCACAGGATTTCAACCATAATAAATTAGAGTAGTTATAGTTCCTTGTTATTGTTTGAAAAGAACTTCCAAATAAATAGGACTGTTTTTAATGTGCTTTGCCTTTGTCTTCACCTAAATATCTAAAATATCCTTCACCGACTGTCTACACACTCATGCCCACCCTGCAAGCATTCACAGACAGAGCACACAGCAACCTCTTACGTTATCTCAACATAGCAGTTCATACAGCAGAGCGTAACGGGGGATGATGTTCTTTACTTTTTACTCATATCAAAAAAGAACAACACAGTTTCAAGTGATAATTACTGTAATTATCAGATTCCAGGTTGAAGATACTTACGTACTTTAAATAAATGAAGGAATCACTTTGCAAACTACTATAACATATGATAGGAAAAAGGTTCAGTTTTCATATTCTTTGGAGAGCAACACAGCTAAATTAGTAAGAAATGTGTAGCTAAAGTGTTGGCTTTTTAATAGCATTTTTTAAGACAGCTCTAAAATTGAACCTATTGTAAAAGTTACAAAATGCATTCGTAGTCAACAAATATTTATTTTGTTTTAAAAAAACAAAACAAAATACCCCAAACCTTTCAGGTTTAACTGACAATACAAATTGTTTGAATAAACTGGATTATACTCACATTTTCGTTAGCTGTGTCATTCTTTGTTAGATGTTAGGTAAAGAAATATTCCACAGCTGTTTTAACATTTTCTTGTTAATGTAGTAGTTAATAATAAAGAATAGATTTTGTTTTAAATTAATTTTGTCAAATTATTTAGCCACTTGGTAGTGTTTGTCCCTACTAACAGCGTGCATATTATTTACCCGTTGCTCAGATAAAGATTCTGTTCCAATTGAGATTATTTTTGTAAGAATTGTCAGTTTCCAGTTGTGTGGACTGTTTAAAATTCTATATCATTTTCTGTTTTAACACAGTATCAGTTAATTCTCCAGAGGAAAAGAGATAAGGTGTTAAAATTGGGATAAAAGCTTCATAATGCCAGAAAATCTGCTCTGTCAAACTTGAGGCCCTTTTTTCTGGTGGAAAAGATGAAAAAGTAAACATTAGTGAGCTCTCATCTAAGGGAAGATTTAAATATAATTTTTTTTAATAGTAGCAACACAATTATTAATATTACCTTCAAAAACATCAGTTAACCAAGCCTGCATTTCTTGTTAGTTTCTATTTTTGATTCATTTTTGGAGCTTGATTTTGTTTTAGACTAATTGGCCCCATCATGGGGAAATGCAGTTGACTTTAGTGTTCTCCCTTCTTGACTATTTTTGATTCTTAAGAATGTGACATAGACCACTTTTAGAAACTGCCTTGAAAACACTGCAACCAAAATGCAGTCCATTTTGTAGAAGTCTTTTCTTTCTGAAACAATAAGAAATTATTTGTTCTTCCCCACAGAAGGCTATAACAAATGGATTTCAAAATGCCTAGACCGTAGCAATGGCATTTAGAAGAATGAAATCAAAGACAAAATGAAAATTATAAAATGGTAACGTCCATTTCCTTTAGCCACACTCCGAGTTTTACTCGGTTGCGGAGAGTATTTTATAAGGACTTTCAGCCTGGTTATTCTTCCTTTGATGAAACTGTCATTAAAGTGGTTTTAGTTTTGTATTTTAACCTGTTGTGTTTAAAAGGGACCAGTCCCTTGACAGCTCGGATAGAGAGATGGCGAATGTTCTCTGGAAGACAGGAAAACAGTCACCTGCTGTATGTGCCAGGAGCAGACTGTGTGCCATGGCATGCAGTCAACATAGGCACATTCAAGAGCACTGTCCAGTCTGTCCTGTCAAGTTTATCGTCCACTCCATCAAAGGGTCTAATGGTCAGCAGAGAGGGCTAAATGTGTCCCCTGTGACCTGACATTAACAGAGTGGACTTGTTTAAGTGTTACTGAGGGTGTCTCCGAATGATTTGGACGCCAATACCCGTTTCCCTCAATGAGCAGTCATTTGGATCATGACTCAATACAGCTTTACACTGACATGGCCGAGCCCTGAAGTGCTCCTAGGGGAACTGCCCTCACCTCTGAGACCAGCAGACAGAAGGGCTGATCAATGCCCTCTGACAACAAGTGAAACAATCACCTCTTCCCCCACCCCCTTTCTGTCTGACCAGCTTGGAAATGATAAAGATAAATGATTTTATCTAAACATGGAGACTGATGCAGAAAAAAGCTGGGGAGGCAAATCTAACTGGGTCACTGTACAGTCCCATAACCCTGCTTTTCACTTTTTGAATACCTAACAAGTTAGGTTTATAGAGCAAATGTGGAGGTGGTTTAATCCAGATTAAACCATTTGGAACCACGTTTGTTGCTGTAGCTTTTATCTCAAGGAAGGCTGCTGTGTATGACTGTGTTTGTTCGTTAGGTGTGGATGATGATGTTGACAATAAAAAGCATTTGTTTGGCCTGTCTGGAATTGACAAAGCCAAACACTAAGAAAGTTGCAACCTTTAAAGAGAAATCAAAAAATAGTTAATTGGAATTTTTTAGGTTTTTATTTTTACAATAATCATACAATAAGTGTTTCCTTCATAATTTCCTACAGTCCAGCGGAAAAATCCTTATCTCACTGGCAGTGCTCCTTCATTAGATATCTTTAATGCTAAAGGAACAGTATAAAAAATAGGCCTATCTAACACCCTCAAATTAGACCAATTGTGAAATGTACAAAAATATTCACATTAAAGATGAAAACTACATTTCAGTCTGTTGGTAATTATTCCAAAGTATAATCATAATTCTGTTTTTCATTTTAATTTTAAATGCATATTTTCTTTGTTGAATATTCTTAAAGTATTTTTCTTTTGTGTTGGAAAATAAGATATTTTCTGCAGATTAATTTGATAATTGAAAATTTGACTCTTCTAATATAACTGAGCAATTATATGAGGCAGGTAAATGTTTTGGGAAAACCATTTTGAATGAAAAATCATAATTGTGGTGTTTTTGGATATTTTAAAACCCATTTTTTTCAGGCATTTTCTATAAATCTGAGAGAATATTTGTTAATGCACAATTAAAGAAAACGGTGTTTGACTCATCTCATTTCTAATATGTTGACAGAGAGCAAGCATGTTTCTAAACCCGTCTTCCTGTTTTCTGAGCCAAAACTAGGGATAGAAATTGCAGGGGAAAATGAACCAAATAATTTGATTTTTGATAGGGGTTTGTAGCTTGTCAAAGCTTTTTGTCATTTAGATGACTAATTTGTATAAATAAGTCTGAAAACACATTGTATTAACATAATTATTTACATAAAATATCTTTCCTTTTTTTGCTTTTATTAATAATTTTTATTTTGTTTACAACTTCCAATACAATGTAGTAAATACTCTGTGTGTGTATATAAATATATCTCCATTTCTGTCTGTTGTCTCAGAAATGTTAGATAATATCAGTTTCTTAAACATGATGTTTATAAAATGTACATAGTTTGGTGAATTATTTATAACAAAAGAATGAAGTAGGTTTTATGCTTTATATACTAACATTAACAACAGATTCACTTCTTCTTTGGAAACACAAATATTTATTATATTATTGTACTTAAAAAAAAGACTAAGCCTCTAAAGTGTCAAAAGTCAAGCTTAACAAATTTAAAAGCAATGAAATGAAAACCCAGTTAGGCACAAAGGGTCTTTTTTGAATTTACTGAAAGGCTGTTGCAAGAACTAAAGAGGACAAGATCTGTGCCTCCAGTATCCTGTTTATTAGGTCTAATGATCATCTTCAAAGGAATATCACAGTTGTGTGGCATTTAAGAATTTAGAAGAATTCTATGAATTTTCGTGTTTTTAGCTGAGAAGTATATGTAGGTTAATAAAAAAAAAAAGCTTTAGTGCTCCATTTTCTATATCTCTGCTATGTGTGTACAGTACACATAGTAAGTATTCAGTATAAGGACAGACATATACTCTGTGTGTTTGTATCCATTTAATCATTTTAAAATTTGAAATTTGGCATATCTGTATTTGGTTAGAAGACATGAAACACTGTGCCCTTTATATGCAAAAATTGCAATTCTTTCATGTTCACAACCACTATCATTTACTCATATCTTACATAGAGATGTTAGTATTTTTATGAAAAGCAATGTTAGTAATTATTTAACCTGTCCACGGTACATACACTCACCCTTACTTTCGCTGTGCTTATGGAATAGAAGCCATCTGAAATAGTGTTGCAGTAGTCTCTAGCATTTATGGGAGAAAGTACAAATTCAGGACAGGGTACAGAAATAGCAGCCAATGATTAGTTAGGAAATATAAAAGATGAGGCTGTTCTCTAGTGTGGTTTTAAATATGTTTTTGGAATCAATGTTCAGATAATTATACAAATATAAAATCAAATCTGCATTATGAAAATGAAAACGCTAAATAACAAAATCATAACCAAAAGCATTTTCCTCCCGGCTTTTCAAGGGGGATTCATGGTCTTAGGGTTCCAGCAGAGTGCAGAAAGATGACAGTGAATCTTAAGAGCCCACATTTAGGAAAAAGTTAGTTATTAGAGGAGCTGAAGGAATAAATCCTGAGGAGGTGGCATATCAGGAGTCAGACTTGGAAAGAGGGAAATAGGAACTTTATATAAAAGAAATGAAGTAACCTTTAATCTGAACCATGGCTTCTGTATCTTTCATTAGCTTTGACTGTCCATAAGAAATTGCAGACTCCTTTTAAACTCAGTTCTGTGGAAGGGGCTTCAATTGCAAATATAAAAATAATATGCTACAAAGGTGAAAGTATGTGAGGCCAAGGCAAACACCCGGCTAAACAGTTGCCTTAATTCTCACACAGGGAACAAATCTCTTAGTACCACAGTGTCATTAGAGCGGAAATTTATTTTGTTTTTATCATTTTAATATTATGAACAGAAAATCAGCCTTCTGTGGCTGAGCCTTCTGCTTTTGAGAGTTGAGTATGTTTTTATTCTAAAGCGTGGTTATATTCTCTGTCTCCTGCATTAACAATGAGGGTAGGGTAGGGGGTGGGTCGGAGGGGGCTGAAATGACAGAATGAGAGAGGGACACACAATAGGATGACCGTGACTTTGAACAAATAAATAAAACATGTGAATCTCAGTCTCTGCTCTCCCCTACCCCCACTCCCCATCCAACTGTGATTAAATTTGCTGTGGTCATTTCCCAAATGTCTGCCTGATAAAAAAGCACCCATAGCCTTTTCTCACACCATGGCCTAAAGCAAGGGCCCTTCCTGTGGCTATCAATCTGCAATCCTGCCAATCACACACACTTGCACAGACATGCATGCCGCTTTCATTACCGAAAATGCTTCACATTTGATTGTGGGCCCCCACCCCGAAAATCTGTAACTCCAACTCTGCCCCCTTAATAAACAGCCGCTCGCTCCCCTTTGCCTCTCACTGTGCAGCTGCAATGGGGTTTCCTCAATCCCTCTCCACCCACCAGCTTCCCTGCAAACTGTGTGGTGTGCAGTGAAAAAGAATACATTTTAATAAGCCTTCAAAAAAGCTCTGCAGACCTGTTCTTTAGGAACAGAAAAAGGTGAGCATGTTGGGGGGCAGGGAGGGGGATTTAATATTACAAGAGATAATGGCAACGATGTTAATATCCGGAATTTTCAATGTACCATACGTACATTTTGTTTTTCCTTTTAGCACGATTTATAATTAAAGATTTTAATCTGGCTTCACATTGAGTTAATAAGCCCTTTGATTGATTAGGATTCATAAAATTGCCATTTCCCGCTGACGCTTTGTGTTTCTGGGGATGTTCTTTTGAAAAGCCGGGTTAAGGTGACTAGGAAGCAGCCATTGTTTAGGCTGAGCTGTGCCAATTCTGGGAATTTGGAACCGCTTTATTCAGAGTTTGTCCCCAGCAATATCTGGTTGTTCAGCCAAATTAATGCAGATAGAATCTGCTGAGTATGTTAGAGCCATTTTTAGGGAAAACTTTTTTTTTAATTTCAGCAGGTGTTCCACACAATTACTGCCTCTCTTTACTGACCGGTTCTCGATGAAATCCTACTGAATTTATAAAGGGAATGTTAAACTGTTTTAAAAATAAAAGAAAAATATTACAAAACAAATAAATCTGGATACATCAAAGCCCTGAAAGCTGCGTTCTCATTTCTCTCTTAAAATTCAGCTTCCACTTACGTGCTTTTAGAGGCCAATACTGTAAGATGGGGGAAGTGTGGTCATCTGGTAAATACATATTACAATAGCAGAGAGATGCTGTTTTAATGCTATTTGATCATCTTAAAAGTACTTTATTTAAAAAAAAACTAAAAATAAATGATGGTAAATTCCAAAGTCTATGAGGAAGAATGAGCGAGGGACAAAGCTGTTGATTTTAGAAGTGCTGTCAAGTGGAGGCAGGCTGCTGTCTCCAATTTGTGTGTGAGAGAGACAGAGAGCGAGCGAGAGAATTTCTTTCTTATTTTTAGCTAGGGTAAAAAGTGACCCTCTTTAGCCTCAGAGGGGCCTCACTGTGTGGATTGAATCAGAGCAAATTCCCTTTGTGTTTTCTGCTCTGAAGGGACAGGCTATTGTTGAGAGCGGGGCCTTGTAACACCAAGTAGTGCTGGACTGTGAGCAAACCCTCTCCAGATAATACTCAAGTTGTTTCCCAATCAATACTAGCTACCCTCCCCCATCATTCACCCCCAGTTATTTGGCACAACTATCATTTCCTTCGCCCTTTATTACCATTCCGACATTCTACCAATGCAAACGTTTAGGGCACCCGAGAAGACAGGGGTGAAGCGGGGGTTGCTGTGGCTGTGCAGAAAGCCCCGTCTCCAGCTAGATCGGCTTCTGAATAGGAGCAGCAGATGCCTGCTCGGGACTGAAAACCTAGCTTTAAACGTCGTCATTTGCAGGGGGCTTAATTGGACAGGTTTTTAGATTAAAATATCTATTTCCTGATTCTATTTTAGAGGAAATATTTAAAAAAATATTTCTGTTTAATATTTGTAATCCTTCCCCATGCATTCTTCTGCAGTGACCGAGAGGATTTTATTTTTAAATAGCTCGCACCGGCACAGATCGACAGTGATGAAAATCTTGCAATAACACAGGATTTTGCTTACCAATCGACAAAAATGTCCCTGCCAATCCCCAGTAATTTCCTGCATCTCCATAACTGACCTCATGCATTCAGCATCTTAAGAGCTGATTGGTGGAGTTTTAATGTGAACAATGAAGAAAATTTATCCTGAAGAAGAAAAAAAATAAAAAATGCACCACAAAAATAATTGACCCCTCTGATTAATAATTGTCTGCAGCCGATATTCACGTTTGTGGCATTACGGAATTAAAATAAATTTAAAACAAACTCAGTTTTTTTCTAAATCAGGTCATAGGCAATGACGAGCAGCGTAAGAATAATTCCCGGTGCAGTGTTTTACATCAGTTAAAGGTACCTTTGAATGAATGTCAGCTCCTTTCTACCTTAGTGCTGGCCGATCGATGCTTCATTAGGCCGAATTGTCTTTTGCCCATGCAACCTTGAAAACAGTCCCTTTAATTACCTGTGAGGAAGTCGGGGACCCTTTTCTCTCTCTCTCTCTCTCTTCTCTATCTCATTCCTTTTTCTCTCTCTCTTTCCAGCAGAAGGCTCGGGGAAGTGGGGGTGGGTGGATGGGGGTCACTTACATTTATTCACAGTCAGCCTGAGTACATCCCTGCTTGATAGAGAAGCTGAGAGAAGAGAGAGTGGGGGCAGGGGAGTTAGGGAGGGGGGAAAAAAGAAATACTGGACCCAGAGGTGAAAGGTCAGGGTTCAAGTCCAGACTACAGATCTATTGAAGAGGTTTCAGACAGCCAGGCCTCCACTTGACTTTCTCATCAGCTAGCTCCATGATTCTTCAGCTGCCTCCTTTGCACCACTGTTGCTGCTAACTCCATAGTGCTAATTACCGGGGGCTCTACAATAGTGCAGCCAAGGGCTGCAGCACCCAGGGAGATGGGCCGGGCTCCAATGACAGGCTTCCCTCATCCAGCTCACAAGAAAACAGGGAGCTCAAGCTAAATAGTTGAAAGGAGGAGAGGGAATGTACAGAGAGCGAGCACTAAATGTAGCCTAATTTAAGACCTTCCATTGCACGAGAAGGGGCTGTAAGTAATTGTAGGCCTTGCAAGTGGTGTGCTGAAGAAAGTGCATAAATAATCTTATTTGTTATGCACTATTAAAAATTCAGAAAGATTTTAAATTCAGGTGGTAATCTGGCCATCTTAAGGGATGGGTTTCTGTGTAATACCAAGGTGGTTTTACCTATACAATTATGATGGGGATTTTTATAATGAGGTAATAAACCTCAGCATAGAAATGGTAATTGTATGTATGTGCTCTACGAGCAGTCGTGAACCCACAGCCCCTTGCGTGTTATGCCAAGCTGTTCCTACCGGTAATCGGATGATTTTGGATAGTTTAGGATTTTGGACCCCAGTTTGTCCTGCAGCACCAGGGCGCAGTTGCTAACAAAGGGAAGCTGATCTGACTGCATTATTGTCTCCTTTTGCACTTCCCACCCGCTCAGGAGTTGAGTTTGTATCATCTGCTCTTTCATTGTTTCTCCTTTAAGAAGCTGTACAAATTCCAAGGACCATTGTGTACTGAAATAGAGAACTGGGGAAAGCCCCAGATAAATGAAAAGTTTAAGATGGGTATTTAAGTAAATTGAAAAAATCATGCCATATTTTTATTTTAATTCAAATGCTCTCCTGGCTGCTCTGTGATGCTGAAAAACTGAGATGTCACCCAGTGCTCAGACACCTCTACTCCGTGGAGAGTCATCTCGTTTGGTCTGTGAACCCCACCCAGTCAAGGGGTTACAGTGGGCAGGTGCCTACCTATTCCAGTGTGCTGCATAAAAAGGAACATCCTTAATAAAAGTCCCCCCTCTATCCCCACCCCCAGCTCCCACAAACAGTCACACGTCGAGCTGTCATCCACATATTGCAGCACAACAGTCTAAACCCAGAGCAGAGAAATCCACACGCAGCCTGCCCCACAGCACAGCATCTTAGGTTACAGTAAATACTAGCCCTCACTAAATGCCATTCTTTGAAAGTGATCAGTGAAGCTGTATTCTGCATTCACTGCAAGGGCTTTATCTCATTCGGAGAGCTGTGATGTCACCACGTTAAGCTAAAATAACCACTGAACATGAGAACAAGAGAGATGGGGGGGGGAGGGAGAAATAC